CATGCACCTTACATAGAGAATAATCCATTGGCGCATACATGTGGACTTTTTCTACGAGAGTTGAACTAGATGTCTCACAAATGAGACCTTTACTGACAAGAAAGAGTCGACTTAATGAATGAAAATGGTGTACGCTTTGCTACTCATTCTTTAACTTGTCAGAATGGCGCGAAAGACGAGTGACATATCAGCAGCTGATTGGTGATATCAAACACACGTAGAAAGTTATCGTAATTTTACGCGTGTGCAGTTGCGGTTTTCCTCAAGGCTGGAAGTCCTTGTAAAACAACGCAGTTTTTGCAATAAGTCAACGTATTTCACTCTTTTTCTAATTTTTTAGACCAAAAGACTCGGCAAAGCAAGATAAAGTTGAAGAACAAGGGCCGGTACGTTTTGCCACCTTCTCCAGAGTAAGTATTGACTAAAAAAAAAGCAACAGTAGTATATACGATCGGTCGCGCAACGTCATAGGAATGACATTACGTAGAGTCATGCTGTCGCACTGCCACGCGTTCGAGATTTTGGGCATCCTGCAATATGATTGGTTGATTAGGAAATTCTGCGATTTGATTGGTTGATTATGATCACGTGGTTAAAAGATACTGACCACTCTTTGGTTAGAACACAAATCACCCGTGTATACTTCCAACAACCTGCAAATTGTTGATCCAAGCAGAATGCAAGATGGGTGTCTCATATGAACCTGCCAATGGCCTTACTCGCCACAGAGTTATCTGAAGCTTGTTGCAAGAGCATCGGGGCGCGAAATCCGAAGGCTTGGGTTCGATTTTTTGAACACAGCAATTTTGGCCACACGCGCGCCATTTCCCGCGCAAAATTTCAGTTGAAAAGATAAGAAACAACCGCTGTCTCGCATAAAAAGCGATAGAACTTTGAAACGTTCATAAAAGTCAGTAAAAAGGAAACAAAAGTAGGGAAGAGGAAAACTCGAGACTTTTCGAACACAAAGCTTATTCAGTTATGGGGATCCTGTAGATTTATCATCCTTTCTTTTAACATTACCAAAAAATTTATACTCTTCTGAGACAACTTGCTCCTGACATTCTAAAAGCTCGCCACTTTTATAGTCACTACAACGTTCACACATTCGCAGACATTTGACCACTTTGTTGACTTTTTTTTTTTTTTCGTTGGGATTCGGATGTTTTCTTGCTTCTACGCTCATGACGAAAGGAATAATACATTTCTTTACTTCGAGCACCCTAAGAAATGATCTGTAACTTACTTTTCATTTTTCTTTAGATATCAAAAGATGAAACCGTTGGAGAACCAAGTGCATTTTGCATTCAGCTCTTTTGCATTGACGAAAAATATGAGATGAGGTCAGTAACAAACAAAATTAAATATTCTCACTTTCAGAGTATCTGATGTTACCGTGTTTACTCATCAAATTCTTTAGCGTTTCTGATGTGATGTTTGTTAAAGGAAGGGTTGTATCTCATAAATGTCTTCTTGACTGAAATTACGGTAAATCTTTTGGGTAAAACATTAACTTTTTTAAATTGCAGTGTCTTCTTTTCATGATATCAGTTTCCAAGTATACTGTATAATGCGAACTTTTAAGCCTGGTTTTCATTAGCGACGCATGCGCAAGCGAAAGCACAAAAGCAAGCATAAGGTTGATATGCCAAATGAAAAAGAACATCGACAAGCACCAGCACTAGCTCAAGAAAAAAAAAAGAAATAATTTGATCCCTTGTGCTGGTGTTTGTGTTTATGCTTGTGTTGAGGCCGTTTTTTTGGTGAAATATGAGCTTTCATGCTTACGTCGCTTGTGAAAAACCAGGCTTTCAAGTTATTTTAAAGATCTGAATGTTAATTTCCCCCTTTAGCTGCTACACATTTCCTTGTAAATTAGTAATGAGAATTTGGTGTTAGATCAAGAGAACAACATCTAATTGATGATTTTGAGTATTCTCATTACCTGTTTGCTGATAATGTATGGACATTGTAGGGGGAAGTTTCATGTTAATCATCTCTAGGAGTTAAAGAGTTAAAACAGCCGCATTCTTCGCAGTGGTGCGGCGGAGCGTTTTTGGTACCTTTGCTTCCTTCAATGGCGTTTAAAGGCGGCGTGTAATCGAGTAAATGCGCTATACTTTTATGTTAAGTGTTAGGTTAGGATATCCTTTTACATGATGGTATTAAAACATAACTGTTTATTGTTCTTTCAGGTCTATAGATTTCCTTCCAGCGGTGTTTGAGCTATTTCCAGTGAGTACCAAATGCTTCCTTTAGTATTTGTAGTAGATAGAGTGTTATAGAGCGCTAGACTGCATCTCGGCGGTTCAAATGACTTCAAGCCCCAGACCAGACCAACACTCAGGACTTAAAATAACTGAGGAGAATGTGTTAGCTTTGCCGTGACATCTGCAAATGGTTAGACGTTCTAGTTTTCTCAGATGAGGGCGATAAACCGTGGGCCGCGTATCCTGCATGTTTTCCGTACTGCTTTATAGCAGAGGATGTTGAAGAACCTACGCACTTCTCGTCAAGAGTAGGGAACGAAGCTGCCGGTGTTGTGGTCTGGCCTTGCCATTGTTTCTAAAGGCTCCTTATTACACCAGCTTTAAAGCTGAACGGAGCAGAGAGGAAAATAAAGTAAATAGATCGAAAATGCTTTAAGTGCTGAGAATTTTTGTAACCCAGCCAGATAGGAAAAAGGATTTTGGTGGTTTATCTGATTACATTGATTAATTAACTTTTATTTTTTATTTATTTTTTTTTATAGGAAAAAGATTACTGCATTTTAACAATGCCTCATCTTGTACCAGAGTTCCCTCTTCTACAGTCTTTTGTGGTACGTTTTTGGTTTAATGCCAATTAGTTTTTTCATTATCCTGTCTAATTGTATCCACATGTAATACTTTTGATCAAGAGACGTATCATCCAAATGTCATGTTTTCCCTTCATAATTCTCGCCTAAAGTTATTAATTCCCTTTTTTTTTTAGAGAGTTACTCCAAGAAAGTACAGCACATTATCCCAGGAGCTTTACGTGTTTCATCGATGGGGTGTTATCGAGTGAGTTCCAATTGTTTTTTTGGAGTTTAAGGCTTTTCGAAGACTTCCTTTATAACCAAATACTTGATTTGGTTCATTCATTACATCCGAGTTGACGGAGATTAGGCTCTAGCCTGTTTTCGATAAGTGAGTTTTTTTTTTTTTTTTT